AACTTCACATGATCACATGGCCATCACGTCAGAATAAGCAAAATTGGAGTGAGGATGGGAAAGGGCCAATTTAGGAAAACCGTTATACATTCACCTCCACTCCTCCTGCTTTTGCATACTACACTGTACTATACACCCTCCTCTACACATTCCTCCCTGTAGTCTTCTCCTTTGTCCCCCTCCCCCCGGTCTTCTTTCTCTCAGCTCTGTGTCAATTAATTAATTGCCGGCTAATTTAATTTCTCAAAAAGTAATAACTTGTTTAAGCATGAATAAAGACTGACAAGGCAAAGTTCCAATCTGCCCCAAAGTTTAATTAGAGCTGCCGAGGTTTTCAGACGGAGTCAGACGATGGGTCAGGGGAGAAGGAGAAAGGCAAGAAAATTAGGGAAAAAAATATAAATATAATGGTTTTGTTGCCAGAACAGTAGCTGGTATTTACATAAACTTTCTGATTTTTATTGTCAACTTTAATAATTAAATCATCAAACAGTGGCAGGACGCCCACTTGAAAGTTTGGGTCCGATACCACCTCTAACCCAAATCACAGGATGTGTCAGGTAGAGCATGTGGTGTAAACCACCTGATAGAAGTGAGTGATCATCTTTGTCTTTCTGGTCCCAGTCAGTAGTTTTGATTCTTTTAAAATAAAGTGTTTCACATTGTAAAATATAATACTGTTTAGAGGGAAGTAGCATGTAATGAACAACACAAAATGGGTAAAGAGGTAGATAAACACCTATAAGTAAGAGCCTGGTTGCAGCTGCCATGGTGGAGTGAGTCACATATTAAAACATTTCCTTTATATGGTGTACTATCGTATAACCCATAAAGCAAGCCAAATCACCCCACATGTAAAAAACATCTAACCATAAAATGAAACATTTGGTATCAGGACAGTTCTGCTAGCAAGTCTACATGCTACTCAATTGCTTGTACTTTAAACTGAGGTGTAGAACACTTTGTGATGAACCTGCTAGTATAGTTATTATAGAGGTATTGACCAGGACCACTACATGAACACTGACCAATACTGTGCTGCGGGTCAGTCTGTCCAATGTAGAATAGAAAAATTACAAGTAACCAATGTAAAATATGTTTTACATTGAAAAATATACATGTTCGACACCTGCCAAGATGCCAAAAGAAAGTGTATGCCTTTTAAATGTCCAATATAGTATGTTGCTCTGTGTGGGTGTCGGTGTGCTTAGGTGTTGTGCATTTCAATGGTGCAGTGATGCAAAAACACCCCTGCAAACCTCTATCTGTATTCATGTTCACACACCACCCCAAGTTCTGTGTTCTGAGTAATGGTGCGCACGCACACAACACACACACACACAACACACACAGAATCACTACAGCCTCCTCCTCCTACGGTGCACAGTGATCCTGCTGTGTCAGTGCGTACCCGTACTCTCTGTTCCTATTAACATTTTCACCATTGTCAAAAAAAATCCACACTTTCAAATGTGATGATACTGGAAACAGTAACAGGTTCTCTTCGCACACCAGTGTCCAGGGTAATGAGAGTGGACGGCGGAGGAGGATGACTATTTAATCAACAAACATTTCCTCCTCCTCCTCCGTCTGCTCTCATCTCTCCGCTTTAATGATCCTGTCAAATGGAAAACTATCTGTTCTTTTAGGTACAATCTGTCCACCACTGTGGAACTGAATCAAACAGCCTGACGAATATTCATCAGATCTCCTCCAAATTTAGAAAAAAAAAAAAAACTTAATAGAAGATCCCTATAACATATTTAGGATTTTTCTAAAATCAGAGTTGATAGAGTTTTATTTCACCTAATTAAAATAAGGCCCACTTAATAATGTCAGGCTAAGACTGTTCCTTTGCCACAATAATACATAGAGTTTTCGGTCTCTACACACCACAGGCCTGCTGGTCATGGGAACTGACCCAAAAAGGCACTGGCTGCGTCCCAGACCGCTCCCTACACCGCTCCCTACACCCTACATAGTCACTATACAGGAGGGACGCCATTTTGGAGTGGTGTCCAAATACGTAGTGAGTCCAGTCATCCACTATATAGGACACTTAATGTATTCCATAATGCACTGCGAAATCTGGATTAGCAGTACTTGTCCCTAATACGTGTTCCATGAGTAAAACGATTGCCGCCATCTTGCTGTAAATTGTTCGTCAGAGAGAGTTCTCCTTCTGTGTGTGGGCTGTGAGTGTTACTTTGTAGCATGGGACAGAGCAGCAGGTTGTCTTACCTCCTCTCCTCACTCCCTTCGCCTCCTCCATTGTCCTTTTAAGATTAACTGGAAGCATTGTCATCGGTGTAGAAAAGGCATTAATTGAAGGTTTTTCCTGCCGCCGCTTTAACCGGCGCAGACGTACGCACACAGCCTTCAAAGTAATTAAACACATTAACACTTCAAGCATAAGCAGAAGGCTCTCTCTTTTGTGTATATTTTGCTGCAGTAGTTATCAATGAGACTGAGCAGAAAAGAGGAAGCAGGATGAGTTAGCATATCTCTGAGAGTAAAAGTGATGGGGCGGAAAAGAGGAGGAAGATGAAGAAGAGGGGAAGGAGAAGAGAGTCAATTCATTCGGGCCCTTTTCTCCAGTTGACAGCGGAAAAACGGCAGATACTCATCTAGAAATTATTTCCAATTCTTACCACTGACATCTTTCCCAAGTGGGGACTGTGAAATCTAATTAGTTTGACCAGGAAAAAATGTGGCAGCCAAGGTATAGTGGAGTGTATTATGCAGACTAGCCAGAGGCTATCAAAGGGGAGTCAAGTTCCCCCGGGGTTAACTGAAACTCAAGAGTGCAGATGAAGGCTATAGGGGGCAAAAAAAAAAAAAAACCTCAGGAGGGGCTGCTTCATTTTTTAAATCGCCTTGACTAATAGAGGCAACCTTGAATGTGCAGTAACAGCCCCTCTGAGGGCAGCACCGCCAAAGCATTTACCTAAGCTACAGGAGAGAGAATAGATAGTGCTTTCTCTTCTCCAGGGCTTTTACCCCTAGAACTTTTTAAACTTCTCTAAAGTAGCAATGATAAATGTGGAGACACAAGACGACGCTGCTGCCTCTGCATGGTAATCTGTGGCTACAGTAAATCTTTGCTGCATTTACAGTTAAAAAGCTGCGCTTACCCCAGTCAGTCATATAAACTTTAGCTTCCAGTTTGATTCAAATTTTCATTTATTGAGGCCCACCCATTAGAAATTAAGTAGCTATTTTTGTAGTTCTAATGTTCATGCCATGCTATACTTTAAATTTAATATTTCATATTCTGAGAACTCAAGATAAAAATGGCTGTCCCTTAAAATTATTTACTGCTTAAAGGTATACATACTTGTTTGTAGGATTGAGGGTCACATATAGACATGTGTACAATATTAATACCAATGATCAATTTAAAGCCTCCCATTAACTTTATCCTAGTGTTCAGTTCCTCAAATATTGGGCGAACCTGCAAACTCCATACAGACAGACCATTTGTTACCAAGTGAACAAACCAGTGACATTTTTCTGTCAGGCAAGAGCACTAACCCTGAGACCTGCGTGTGACCATATTATTTTTGGAGGATAACATTTCTTTTCCAAATCATTGCAATTATCAATGGGCTCTAAATCCTTGTTTAGTGGAAACAGGACATTAATATCTCAACTTTAGGCTTAAATGTCACCAGATCTAAACTTTGAAGCATGTGTCACGCATTGTTTTCACATTAGGTTTTTGTCAACACAGCCATTTTGTGCCCTATACTGTAGGTTTTCAATTCCCCTGAAGATTGTAAAAGCCACTCTATGATTTGTCCTCTCCCTTTGTTAGTTTGTTAAGGCAGGACACTTTGCCTTTAGTGCATGTAATACGTTCTATTGATAACTATAAAAAGCAAAAATAAAATTTCTTAAGGTTATTATTCTTCCATAGTCTTAGAAGCTACACAGTTATATTCAGCATCAGCAACAAAGAAATGTATGTCAGCACTTCTAATTATTGGTTGGTTTGAGGGCAAATAGCGACAGCTAATAGGTCAGTTCACTAATAGCCACTGCCCAAGGAAACAGTTAATGTTACAGTTCTGCTGCAACCCGACCAAAGTCTTCCTTACCAATTAGTTCTGTCTTAGATCACAGCCAATTAGTTTTTGTGCTTAATTAATTAGGATGGAACACAACCTACATCACCTCGGTGCAAAAGTTGGTGATTAGAGCTACAAATCATGGAACCAGAACGGAAACACGGGCCGTGAACTCCCACTGGCCTCTGATGTTTGATGAAATGTTATCAGCCATAAACATTAAAACATAGGTATATATGTTTATGTTCACACCCCTTTACAGCCTCCGCAAGAGCCTGAATATATACATATATATTAACTATAATAGCCTGAATATGTCTATATATAATATATATAAAAAGATTTTATACGTATGTATGTTCATTTCCTGCATGTTTATGTACTGTTGGAAAAATAATGTACTCCATACAAATAAGTTACCAACCTTCCACGTGACAGTGAATCATTACCAAACCATACCATGTTCTCTGATTTTGATTAAAATAAATAAATTAATAAAAACTTCGACTGAAAATAAAATCACATATCCATCATGTTATGGTGGGTTTCAGCAGTGGATACCCTGACTATTGCATATACTGTAGGTCAAGTTGTGAGCCTTTGCTAAGTGGCTATTTCCCGTATTCTCCTTTTTGCTGTTGTAAAAAAAATCATCTTGCAGATCAGAAAATTTCATTCTAACTGAGATGTCTACAGGAGCCATTTAATCTGACTGAAACACTGTCAGTGGAGCACCTCATAGGAGATTTGATCACATGAACCTACTCAGCTGCCCCCGGGGCAGAAATGAGCGAAAAGAGCCTCCTCTGAATGCAGCAGGTCATCATCAAATACATTTACATTTGAAGTTGTGACACATATAAATTATGCATGTGTATATTTTAATGCGTTACAAAATGGCATTAGAAACCCTCAAAACAAACAAGTTACCTGCTGTCTCTGTTGTGATTTTCTGTTTTTCTCTCTTTGCCGTGGCCTGGGGATCTTAACTGCCTTGAAGGCAAACGTGATGGAAATCTAATCAAGGCTATTCTAAAGGGGGAAGTAAAACATTTTGTTTTTCGCTTCCTCTTTTTGCAAGAAAAAATAATTTCCCATGTGTGAAACTAAACCAAGAAAACATGGAGTTGAACATGTTCAGTCCTGTTTTAAAACTTCAAGATTTAAAATTGGATTTCAGAAAAAAGAAGATGCTGCAGATGTAAGTTACATTTATTTTTTTCTAAATGGGATTGTAACTGACAAAACCTAGTACCTAGTACCCAAACAATTGTTACAGGAAGTGTGCAAACAATGACCGTTAGCAACAGTGACCATTAGCATAGTGCTCTGTGTGAACCAACACGTGGTCAAAATGGCTGCTGTTCTTTTGTGAACACAATTCTCCCTCTGTATATCAATTAGTAACAAATATCATTTATATCTAAAATAATTTGAATTACTTTACAATATAATTGCTGAGGCCATTGTTTTACTGAGCCTATGGTTAAAAATGTGAGTTTTTTATTACTTTTGACATTTTACAACCATTAATCTCCAAACTGGTATCAACCACAGCTAAATCTGTACTATATCCCATGCTACTCACAGCTGTGTATTTTCTAAGGTTTTATGGGTGTATGGTATTTTCTCGCTGCTGGTGGTTGATAGTTGGTTCATCCATCATCAAGTCAAGTCAGCTTCAATAATTGGTCACACAGATTTGAGGTGTCTGCACACTTTTAGCTTCCTGCTTTATTGTTAGGAGTGTGAGTACTTATTAGTTAACAGTCACTCACACATGAGTTAACATTCTGCAAGCACATTGCTTTCGCATGGGAAGTGCTTGGGAAACTAAAATCCACCAAGGTCGTGAGAATGAGTGCAAGCAAAAATGAGTGAAAAAGTGTGCTTTGCCACGACTCAGCACTCCCTGGGTTTAAACACACATCAACCTGCAAACTGACTGAAAAGCCAACTATAGACCTGACTGCAAAAAAAAGCAGCCATAAATTTCAATAATGCATGAAGCAAGGGGCATTTTGGAAAATAAGCGCCTTTTCCTCCCGTGAGAACTAGTGCCCCCCCAATCCTCCCCTCTGCTCTCTGTATCAAAGAACGATCTAATGTCACACACAAAAGAAAGGTTATTTTCTGCATATACACATTGATATTTCTGCCTCTATCTCTGACCTTTCTGTGATTTCTTTAAACACCCCGTGTCTGTGTGTCACTTTCTGTCTGTCCACCTGCTCATCGCAAAATCAGACCAATAAAGAAAGAGGAAATGCCCAGGAGATCAGGAAGCGATATTTCAGACATAGACATCTGTTGCCAGGTGCACAAGTCACATGACGTATGACAGAAATGATTCAATTTTATTAGGTCCTTTTACACATTACTCCTGCACATGCCAAATCAAACACTGCCTCGTATGGTGGGGTTTTGTCCTTGACGTTAGCTAACAATGTTAACTGGATTGAAATTTTACAGAATGACGGACACTGTATTCCCAACAATTCCACAGACCATTCCCTTATCATTGCATTGTTATTATTTACACACACTGTTCCATCTCAATGACCAGCTTATGTTTGTGGAGGCTTCAACTTCAGTCTGATATTAGGGAAGTTTCCTATTAAGTTTGGCCATATTTAGGAATATTGATTTATCTCGATTATTCATGATTAATTGTGATTAATCCACTGCTACTGTGTTATTAATAAATTATAAACGGATTAATCACCTCTTACAAATGAACTGGAAATAAATAAATACATAGATTTTTTCATGAAATCCTTTGATTTTCTATGATTAATCCTATTTGGCCTATCTTACTGCATGTAAACGTAACACACACCTTTATCGCCTCATAATTTATACAACTAAACTCTGCATAATAAAATGTACACAGGAGATTAACACATCCTTTCTCCCCTCTTTCATGTCATTCCTTGTAGGTAGTAAGAAAAGGCTTCAGTGTTGTTATTTTTATCCTAATTTGCTGTTTGTGCATCATAATTAGTGTTTTAACCAACCTTTGAGTTTTTAAGCTAATTTTATTTTCTCTTCTTAAATCACGTTGATCCTGTTTTATGCTCAGCATCTGCTGTTTCATCCACAGCCCCGGCCTCTGAGCTTCAAATTAAGCAGCGTTCTTGGCACTTTGTGAAGTAATAGTGACTTTAAAAATATGCAAGGAGCATTAATTAATTTCTCATGGAGCGAGAGAGAGAGAGATAGAGACAGAGAGAGAGAGATTGTTTCAATTAAAGGGATAATGACACTTTTGAATACTTCGTTCACAGCTAAGCTATGCTGCTGTTTCTTTAATGCATTTTTACACCTAGTAAAACAATAACAAAACATTATTCTGTAACATATTCTTCTGCATCGATCAACTACCCAGTCTGGTGTGTAAATAATAAATGCCATAAACATTCATGCAGTTTTTTACAGTTTAAAAAACATTCCTTTCTCTATATTAGTAGCTATATCCATCTCCACATTCATTCATCTTTGTAATCAGATGTCATATCAACATTTTAAACTCAAACTAATTCTCTTCTCTTCCTGTGTCTCCCTCTATCAGTAGACCTCAGGTCTCTTCCCGACGTGGCGATGACCG